GGACCGCGTACCCAAAGCAGCCATTGCAGCTGCATGAGTCACAGTCCTAAACCTCGCCCATTTACCCTCGACATCAGGTGGAGTGGGGGACGATGCCAACCCCAGCTGCAAGCGATGATGAAATTCTCGCTTGCAACTTTCATCAGCTAACTGAGACCAGGCCACTTTTGGTTGGAATGGGATCCTGGGTGTACACCCACCACCGGAGTGGAAGAAAGGCAGGCGCATCTTACAGATGACTAGTCGATGGTCAGAGGACAGATCAGCTCCACGGTAGGTCCTGGTGTCAAGGACATGGGTTCGCATCCGCTGGTCCGTCACTATGTAGTCCAGCAGATGTTCTTGCTTGGACCCGGCATGTATCCATGATGTTGTGTGGATGCGCCGATGCCGGAAGAGCGTGTTGGTAATTACAAGCCCATGGGCTGCACAAAAATCTAGCAGCCTCCTACCGTTATTATTGAGCTGATCTGGCCCATGCCTTCCAATCACTCCAGACCAGGTGTCAGCATCATGACCAACTCGGGCATTGAAGTCACCCAACAAGATGACTCTGTCCCGAGTGGCCACTTTAGCCAGCACCTGTGACAGGAGGTCATAGAAAGCGTCTGACTCATCGGCTTTGCTTGCATCCCTCCACGGATGTTCGTCTTCGGTGGGGGCATAAGTAACCACGACCACCACTCCTCGCCTCTGGTTGATGGGAAGGCGAGCCCAAAGTATCCTGGGGCTTACAGCTTCCCACACCTCACCGCCACGCTCCCACGCCCCCTTCATTCTTTTGTTCAGAAGAAGAGCCACACCCTGTTGTTTGGCAGTCTCCTGCCCCGAGTAGAGGACTGTCCACCCCTCATGGTGGCAGGAGCCAGAACCGGTCCACCGGACCTCCTGAATGCCACAGAGATCCAGGCGGTACCGGTCCAGCTCCCGACAGAGGAGTGGCAGCCTCTCCTCCGCAGTGAGCGTTCGAACATTCCACGTGGCCATCCGCAATGGTTTTTTGTTGTTTCTGGAGGAGCCCCGAGGGTGAAAATTCAATCTCCTGGCTCCGCCAAATGGGGTTTGGCCAGGAGACGTCATAAAAGCCTGACCCCCCGGGGCCTCCGGCACAAGCTTATTTGTTACAGGTTTATGTTTAATTCGTGGTTTAGTGGTAATGAATTGAAGGTGGAGGGGTTACCAGCCCCTCACACCCGTCCAGAGCCCCCGTTTAGCCACTGTGGTGGTCACAGACGCCATGAGGGGAGAGGCCAATGGGCATTGGCCCTCCCCCCACAGCACTGCCCACGACAGTGTTGCCCGTCCGGCACCGCGAGGAGGTAGGAGGTTGTTTGCCACACACACAGACACACACACAGACAAACACACACAGACACAGACAGCACGCTAACCACTACACTACCGCTCCCCACACACCACACACACACACACAGACACACACACAGACACACACACAGACACACACACACAGACACACACACAGACACACACACAGACACACAGACACAGGCAGCACGCTAACCACTACACTACCGTTCCCCCTACACAACACACGCGCACACACACATACACACACACAGACACACACACACAGACACACAGACAGACACACACACAGACACACAGACACACATACACAGGCAGCACGCTAAGCACTACACTACCGTTCCCCCTACACAACACACGCGCACACACACAGACATACACACAGACACACACACACAGACACACAGACAGACACACACACACAGACACACACACACAGACACACAGACAGACACACACACACAGACACACACACAGACACACACACAGACACACACACACAGACACACAGACAGACACACACACACAGACACACACACACAGACACACAGACACAGGCAGCACGCTAAGCACTACACTACCGTTCCCCCTACACGTCCATAGGTACACATACACGCGCTTGCTGCAGACACACACATACACACACATGCATACACACAGACATACACATACATACAAACACACACATACATACACACAAACACATACACAATACACACACACATACATACAGACACACACATACATACACACAAACACATACAGACACATACATACACACATACATACAGACACACAGACATACACATAAACACATACACACATAGTCATGACCCGGCTTTGCCCGGGACTTGTATCCACCACGCCCGGCCGCCTTTGTCTCCCCAGTGGCGATGTTGATACGCCACACCAGTTACTCGTTTTGAGGCTGAGTCCCTCCCTCGCCACTCTCCCTCCCTCGCCACTCTGCCTCCCTCGCCACTCTGTAGAGGACGTGAAATTTGTATGAATTTACCTCAGAGTGGCGTGTTGGGTGTCGAGGCCTAGCACCGTGCAGAGCCTCCCGCCTTGCCTGATTTTCCCACCCGGCGAACGCTGGGTACGGGTGCCGGTCCCCCCCCCCCCCGCGCTATTAAAAATGGCGTCCACCCCGCGGCGAAAAGTTGCTACTCGTTGCCAGGGGCAACCGCCGTCCAATGAAAGCGGCGAAGGCGTCGTTAGCTGTTGCCAGGGGCAACCGCCGTCCAATGAAAGTGCGTATGGTCCGAAATCCACACACACATACACAGACAGACAGACAGACATGCACGATTTTATATATATAGATTAAATCAAGAGGGGGCTTGTAGATAAATGCCCACTCTGTAACATTACTGTATTAGTTGTGAAATTAAATTAAATGGCACGTTGAGGTTAACATGTAGATTATGAAAATCGCTGCTCCCACTGTCGTTTCCAGGAGCTGGCGCGCTTTCAGCGGCACATTGACAGCAACGGTCCCTATGACGTGGTGGTGGACAGCCTCAACGTCTCTTACATCGGTGGCAAATATGCTCAATCACAGATCGTAAGCCTTGCATTGTCATAAGGATTACAAGCTCTATTCTAAATTATTATTGGCTGCTGTAATATTTTATACGTGTTTGCCGTAGGTGTAGCAATAATCTGATATTAATCTTCTAATTGTACGAGAATAAGTTGAAAACTGCAGTGCTTTATTTTCTTTAAAGCCCATTTAGATGTACTGTTTTACATAGAGCTGGTAAAAATTGTTGCAGGGATGTATACAAGTCTTACCGTTTTACATTTACAATATAATTTTCACAATTTGGGATTTAAGGTAAATGCATCCTCATGTGGGTCTACTCTTCTAAATCATGCCACATGATATTTAACATGCAATAACTGTGCCAATTACTCACAAACATTATCTTAACAATGGGAAATGAAACCAAGGTAAATCGGCAATGACATGCCGAGTTGAGGTGTTGTCAGTGGCTGGATGACTGATCTTTACCAATCTGGTGCTTTTCTGACGTGCAGCTCATGGATGTGGTGTCTCACCTGGCTGAACACGGGAAGCAGGTGCTAGTGCTGGGCCGGCGACACATGCTCAAAAACTCTAACTCTTGGCTTCGTGAGCACATGGATATCGTGAGGACGCAAGCAGACTGCTTCTTCATGGAAAACATGTAAATCAACGCAATTCCTCTACGTGCTACATCACCGTCAGCTATGCAGGCTTGCTTTGATTAATTGAACTCGTGAGAAATTGGGTATTCAATTTGATTAGCTACAGTGTGATTCACATTTAGTTTTATGCAGGCCTTTAATTCTCCATATCCACCCCACCCGTTCAACACGACGCTTGCAGTTCCAAGGACGATCCTTTCCTGCTCTACGCGTGCCTGCACTCCGGAAACCACTGTTGGTTCGTGACGCGTGACCTGCTACGCGACCACTGCGCGCGCCTCACGGAGCCCATTATGCGCCACCTCTTCCGCAAGTGGCAGCGTGGACACCAGCTGGTGTTGGAGACCTACATCCCCAAGGGACAAATCATTTTTAAGGTACCTAAAACTGTCACTGCATGAGCAGTTGGCACTTGGCCTATTTGTTTAGGCCAACTCTTCCATTGGTGGCTGTATTTTTCCAACCGCAAGGTCTAAAATGTCTGCTGTCTAAATGAACCAACTTTAATGTATATGTTAGTATTAGGCACGGTTTAAGGTTGAACAAAAAGCACAGGACAGAATTTATACAACATAACATGCTTTCATACACCATGCTTTATAGTCCTGGTAACCTATTAATGCTTTTCATTTAGATATTCATACTGGAAATGACCCACGGATTACAGAAGATCCAGTAATATGATTGACCTTGTCTCTAACTCGTGTCTTTCTACTCTGGCCATTCTCTAATAATAGTGCACATCTTCTCTTTGTATAGCAGTATTTTATGTATTGCTCAATATTTGTGTTCTTTCTTTGTACTTTAATATATGACCATTACATGAGGTAAACCACTTGAAGCACATTCTCAATCCCTTATTAAACTTTATATAAAATCAAGAGAAATTCAAAAATAAAATCAATATAAATGCAACTCTGTTGAACTATTGAACGTTTAGATGAAGCTTGCTAATTATGCAATGTGTTTGCAGACGGTGCCGTCTTTCGATACGGTTTTGCAGACAACGACAGGGAGCTGGCACATCCCATACGACAAAGATGGAATCGAGAGGTCCCACATTCAGGTCCCTGGAAACTGGGTGTGCATGCACAAACAAAAATCGCAAAGACGACTTAATAACTTACTTAAAGACTCAGAATGACAAAATAGCCTCAAACCACCTCATTGGCTCGTAATTTTAGAGAAAAAAATTGTGGAAAATGTGTGCAATTAGACATGGTTTACCGTTTAGCCTTTATTTTACATGCACTGATAATTATGCTGTATTTGCAGTTGTTTATACAAAATAATACCCAGTCAAGTTGAAAATGTTAAACTGTACATATTGTGTGCAAAGCATTCACTTTTAATTATACAATTGTAGATATACACATTTTACAGTTTGTGGGTTTTTGGTTTCTTTGTGGAAACGTACGACTTCTGCAGAAATGGTTATGTTAACAACAGCACCACCACCACACATTGTTACGCACCAATAGTTCTGTTGGTACAACGTTTTATTTTGTGCATATTAATTTGCAGCAACTGACATTCAGTAGGGATTAAAAATATATCAATGCATTCCCTACTTAGTATTCTTTTTAAAATAGAAGAGTAAATGTATACAACTCCCCACGACAAGAACCGAAAGCACTCTGGAAGTTAAAGCACGTTGATAAAACATCCACACCATCACCCACTCCAAACACAGCAAAACAGTACCAAAAATATTGCATATTGGACAAAATGAGCAAGTGCGCAGTTATTGTTTTTAAATGCCTGCTTTTCCTAGCTCTAAATTATAACCGGACCTGACAATGTACAGTCGGCAATACAATATTCTAGGAGGCACTGATGTACAAAGAAATGTAAATGAGTACAAACAAACCGTATCATTAAGAGCAAAGTCTTTTTTTTTACAGCACTTGCTAAATCTCATTATTTTGCAAATTTAGTATTTTGCAATAAAAATGTTAACTATAAAACAGGAAATGGTCGAATAAAAACGAATCCTGGACTGGATGTACATGTGAGAAACATGGCAAACGAATGCATTTTTAAACTGTTAATTATACACCCGTGACTACAGCATTATTGTTTCTGTAATGCACATTTTTCAGAGCTCAAAGAAAAGGACATCGTTATGACTATTTTTTTACAGCAAGGCTGTAGGAAAGCATAGCATCTGCCCATAAACATTGTCCGTTAAAGCTTGCTGTAGTTCCTCCCAACAGCCACTTGGCTGTCAGAGGTACCCTTCAAAAAGGGTAAATTGGGTAAACAAGACAGGAGGAGGAGCTTCAAGCAAGGGTACACAAGATAAGGGAACTCAGGATATCCACTTAATCAGTGCTGCCAGCTCCAAAGCAGCCATGTCCATCCATCTAGGCTGCTTTTTAAAAAATCTGCAATGAGTAAATAAGTTTCAGCTCAGGACTGTTACCCAACACTTATAGGAACCTTTCACCAGACACCAAAGGTGGGGGGAGAGGAAATGAAAGTAAATGACACCAGTAAAAAAATAACAAATTAATGTCTTGCACGTAAAAAACAGAAAAGCTAAACTCGTTGCACGACGGGCAGCGGCTGACGGGCCGCACTGCGCTTGCGGCGTCCACGTGCATATACCCGCAGGAATAGTGCAAGAAACACTACGCCCACCCCGAAAACACCCACCAGGCCCATGTGGTGTCCGTATATGAGGCAGGAAAGCAGAATGGCCAGGGCCTGCCGTGTAGTCATGATGAGTGTGAATATGGCAGCTCCAAAGTGATTGATGGTGTAGAAGATGAAGAGCTGTCCACTCGCCGAGCACATGGACAGCAGCAGCGCGTGCAAAGCGAAGTCGGAGTGACGCGACATGAACGACAGCCCCTCAAGCAGGGCGCCTTGCTCGAGCAGAGAGCACGTCGTCAGCAGGCACGAGAACAAATTGACACCAAACATCATTTGCACGGAAGACATGCGATACTTGAAGAGGGCATCTTGCCAGTTAGATGTGAAGCTGTCGAAGAGGATGTATCCAGCGAGGATGACTAGGCCAGAGAAGGTAGTGACTGTTGAGGAGTGCTTCTCTTCGCTGTTGGAAGAGAGCAGGAACATGCTGACGCCCACCGAGATGAGCCCAGCCGTGAGGTACTCCCAATGCTCGTACGTCTTGTGTGACACCAGCTTCCCCATCAGCATGACAGGAATTACCTGTGACACAGCGTGACACAAGGTGTACATGTGGATTTAATGAAAATCTCTTGGTCTCCCGCAAGCATTGATGGAACTTTGGGGGTTAAACGCTGAAAGCTATTTTGGTGTTTAGCATAATTTACTTTAAGCAACATGATTATTATTTGAGCCAGAAAGAAAAAAGCGACCTAAAATTCAATCTATAAATGTTATTTGACTAATTAATTGAGTTGCATTGGTTTGGATTACTGCATGCTTATATGATATCTTGTGTCTGAGAGGACATGAACCACTCGAGATGGAGTGATGAGATCAGTTCATGTGCAGATGCTGGATCGTGAAAGGTAGTGACAGCTTGGGGAGGGGCCTTCATCCAGCATTAGACTGCTCATGGATGGTGATGTGATCTCTAGCTAGAAGAATTGACTTTACCTTTGAAGCCTTAGCCAGCACTTGTGTGGGGAAGCTAACGAACTTGAGGGCCTCATACTGGCACCAGCTGCTGAGGATGTTGGACATGGAGCAGAAGGAGTACTTGTACATGGGAGCGCCATGCCGGGGCTGCTTGGTCATTGCACAGCAGAGGCCAGAAATGGCCAGCGCCAGGATGCGGTTCATGAAGACCATGAACTGCGAGTCACGGAATGTCTCACCACCGCCCTCCTCGCCCTTCCCATACTCGCGCGTCATGACACGCTCTTGTAGCACACCCCACGTCAGGTACGACACCTTCAAAGGCAAGGGGGCAGCAATGCAGAAAGAAAATGCAGACATCAGGAGTTTACAAAATAGTATTTTAAGTGCCTAGGACTGGGTGTGGGTAAGAGACATGCTCGAGGGCAGTATTGCGATTGTCAAAGTTACATTTTTCTACAGTACTGCTTTACCAGTTTACTCGATGAGTGGCAGGTTATCAACATAAGTTTATGCTCTCAATTTGCAAGTTATAGTTGTTAAATGACATATAGCTTCAATGCCTTAATATCTTTGTGAGAGAAATTAATATTGACTACATAGACTATGCCTTTTACCAGATCAACCGGAATGCATTTGATCTGACCAGACCTCGGACAATGAACATGCGCTCAAGCCTGGGTATTGCTTGCATGGGTGACGATGCATAAAAGAGTTGTAGGCATTTTGGGCAGTCGACGGCAGTGCAGGAAAACCCATTATGTATTCCCCCCCCCACCTTTAACCGGCACTGACCAGATTGGTGAAGTATGGACAATTAACCCTCACTGACTGCACAGCGTGGGGAGGCCCTCATCCAGCAATAAATTAATAGTGCAACACTTAAGGTTGCCAATTTTGTTTTCTTGGATGAAAACAGCATACATCTTTCTAAAAAAAATCAAAGCTGAATAGCTACACTCGAGTGTGCAATGGTTGTGGCACTAACAGATTAAACCATTCAATTCGCTTACAAAAGAAATGGAGATTAGTGCTGTTTCCAAGTTCCAAGGGCAAGTGGTTTATAAAACGGCAGGCTACTAATGCATTTACTTTGGAAGCTCCACATTTGCAAAACCTTAAAGGTTAAGATTTTACTTAACAATAAATGTTCACCGATACTGCACCAAAGCTGTTTGCAAGATAAAAACTCAAGTTACATCGGAATATATTTCACATGATTTTATTTTGTAAATGTATGTATGTTGCACTTCTATCGCACCATATGTAGCAGTTAATATTAAAGCTGTAATATTGCAGCTGTAATGTGAGTTGGAGACAATAGTCCAGTCTGTAATCTTTGGGACCCTAAAAGTGCCAACCTTGAATGTTAGACACTATATTACCATCAACCTATTTTAGACCACGCAACAGAAAAAGCCAATGTAGACAAAGCTACAGCTAAGGTGTTCCAAGAGAAAATGTATGCTCATGCTAAACGTGATAACGCTTGAGTTTTCTTGGATTTTTTTATCCCAAAATTGTTCATTCTTTCAGGGTGCATTTTGGTGTCAGTGTTTCCGGACAATCATGGACACACCCAATTCCATATGCAAGGACCATGGAGTGCTATTTTAAAGTAAAATTCAAAGTACCCATTTACAGTTGAACAATGATCCCGTTTACTCATTTTTATTACACATACAGCGAATGCTTCGGAGGCATATCCAGTTTGTGAAATATACAGAAATGTACATCTACATTAAGTTCACAATGCTTATTATGCTGGTCTTCATAAATTAACCAATTTCCCCTCGAGAAGATGTATGGCCGAGTACTGAGTTGCATCATGGCTGCACTTCTCACCTGCAGCCCAGTGATGCACATGACGAGCCGGGCAGCCTGCTTGGCTGTGGAGCTCTCGACTGCCTCTGACACTAGCGTGGCCGATTCCCCCACAGTGCCCGTCTTGTCCTCGTTTCCAAAGACGCACGCGCGCACCAAGGGAAAGCATTTGCCATGCCCTGCACAAAGATCACACGCGCCACGCTCCTGTATGCAGCTCTGTTTTGCTTAATGTCGCAAGAATCTCACTATTTTCATAGGTACGCCACCAGACTTTTTTTTTATATATACATGACGTTTGCAGAAAACTTAAGAAAAACAAAATGAGTATGCTACAATAAAACTTAATTTTAAAACAATATTGTAACAAATGAAGGTAAAAAATAAATAGGCATAACAAACCTGTCTCCAGGTAATTACGGTGCTTTAGGTAACGGATAAGTAGATATCCAGGTAGGATTATGGTACTATATCCAGCCATATTTATGACGAGCCGAAAAACCCAGAAGTCTGTCCATGATTCTTCCAGACTCTCTTCAGTGCTCGCAACTGTGGGCCACAGCATGGCCATGACCAGTCCCAGCCACAGGCCTTCAGACCTGTACATATGTTAATGGAAACAGGTTACAATTGGTAAAATATATTTAGCAGTGCATAAACAAACTATCTTATATTTATTACATGGAATTGCTTTGCACATAAATACAAATAATTTCGAAAAAGATATAAATTTAATAAGACTGCACAGACACTACTTTAGTATTAACACTACTTTATTATTCCATGTCAACATGGAATACTAACATGCTATTTAAATATTATAGATAGCTAGTCAAACATATTGATGGAATTAATCCATTCACCAGCTGGATGTTGCACTTCACATTACTCATAAGTTGTGTTGAAATCTGACTAATGGAAGATGAATTAAGACTCTGTGCGAAAGTAACCCTCCCCCTATTGGATGTCATGTCTAAATATGAGTTGGTGATGTAACATTTTCAGTTTGGACAAGCAGCACATGACAGAGAAAATGCACTAACGGGAATGGTTCACCTCAAAGTAAAAATACTAAATCAATAAACTTAATGTAACCGAATATTTTCCAACTTTTAATAGCCAATGCACTGCATAACTTGGATATGATTTTATATTTGACCTAAATACCTCTTGTCGGTGTTACTCGTGTAACTTTGCATACACGCAGAATATGAATAATCAACCGTTGTATATTTTTTTCCACAAAACTACCTTATGAACACTGCCCTGCACACCCTCAAATATTGCAGTTGAAACGCACATTTAAAGAGACGAAATATTTGTGTTCCGTCTTTCCTCCAGACCAGCCTATTATCTAATGCACATCTATGTACTATACAGTATTTAAAGTAATGTTGGCAACTCAATAGAGTATCTTCTTAATACGCAAGGTCTGCATTGCACACGTATATTGAATGCCACAACTCTATCCGAGTAACTAAAACGTGTACATACATTTTTAGTAAATATATTATTGGATTATATAACTTATGAGCGGTTGAGTTTATATAGCAAGGTTGGCACCGAATGTATCCAACATACGTGGCACCTAATCGGAGGTGAGATTTACATAACTGCTTACCATAAACGTGTACAATAAATACAAAACATAGGTCAGTTTGTGCAAACACGAGCACATCTCCAATGCCCAAGAGCTGGCACGTGGATTCACATATCTATGAAGGCTTACCTATCACTGGGCGACCATTCGCTTTTTTCTCATTGGTAGCACACACAATAATAACATTTTCCCAGTCAAACACATGCGCTCGATAACAGATCAGCATTGCAGAGCAAAGATCCACAACGGAGTGTTTGTCCATTAGTCATGTCCTTATTTAACACCGTAAAATTCTGCGTTTCCTTATTGACAGACGGAGGAGCTGCTTACGTCAATGCTCTTAAAAGTTAAGCGAAATAGAATTGCCTTCGGCTCTGCAAACCACCTCGGCTTGCAGTTCTCCAATACCATGCGTCACATGTCAGTCCAGAATCATTCCCCAGATGTCATCGGGGTCAGAGCACTGCTGCTGCACATACCTGCTGAATGGCAAATGTGATAAGGTAGAGAATCCTGCGGGGGTGATGATGAATGCGAGAACCTGCACTTAATGTCCGAACTACGTGAAGTCTGCGTAGAGAAGTTCTCAAAACTCTCCTCTTGCAACCCAAAGCTAATCAAAGCCTAGTAATCCCAAAGTCCAGCGTAAGCAATAAATCACAACTGCTCAACGACTTCACTTAGAATGTACAACTCGCTCACACGCACCACTGGCTGCAACATCTCAAATGGGCATTGGCGTTGGTTGACCCCGAGTGAAGTGGGTTCTTTATGGGCCCCCTAGCTCCCAAGCTCCAGTTCCCTCTGTAACCCTGGGTCCACACACAAGTTCCCAGAGTTGCCCACGGAAGGCAATGTCCCACCGAGGTGCTCTTAAGATTCCGCTCGAAAAGGTCTTTTCCGACACGACACTAACTCAATTAAACGACCTGGCTCTTGAGAGAGCAACATATACCTTCCGTGGAGTGCGAGGGGGGCTCCCCTCTCGACCCCCAGTTCCCATCGGGTCTCCCCGGACCCCCCACGACAGCCCCCCACTTACCCCATATCGGTGCGCACCGCTCCCGAGACCCGCTTCGTGCCGCGTCCGTCCGGGTCGAGCCACGGGCGCGCTCAAGCCCCGCGGCCCGTGTACCCACACGTCTGCTGTCACTAATGTTATTATCGCTGCTAGTATCTCAATCTGCACCGGCAATTAATTACCTGACGCTGATAAACAATGGGCCGCCGTTAATTCATAATTGAGCGGAGAGCCGTAACCACTGCTGCTGCTGCCGCTGCCACCGCCGCCGCCTCCGTTTACTGTACGCGGCCACGAGTGGAGACAGCGGCGTGACGTCATCGCGCAACAGCCCCGCGCGTTGCGTGGTGACGTCACCGATCGGTTTATTGGGTTGTGGGTGAGAGCATGCGTCATTACGCACGGCGTCGTGTCGTCATCGCGCAGAGCCCCCCCCCCCCCTTCGCCCCACCCCCCCCGGAACGTCCGGCGAATGCGAGGGCGTCACCGGGTGACGGCCACGTGGGCAAGCTGCCACGTGCGTGCGCCCACGGCTCGCGGTGGCTTTTAAAGCTGTAAGGGATGGGACCCCAACACATGATGTTGTACTCTTGTCAATGAAACTTAGCTATACATCTGAAAGGCTATAAAGGGTGTCTGCAACAACTCGGCTGGCTCTTTCAAATGTATATGTTGCTCTCTCAAGAGTCAGGTCGTTTGATTGAGTTAGTGTCGTGTCGGAAAAGAACGCAGAAATTGAGTTTTTGGTATTGATTTGAAGCTTTTTGTGTTTTTAGAGGAATGTTTGATTAAAATACGAGTAAAAAAACGAATGCGTGAATGTTTTAGTAAGATCTGCTAGATCGGCGTTTGTTACGCAGGGTACAGCTAGTATATTTTATTTAAGGTGCGCCACGGTGGTGTGATGTTATTTTCGTCGTCTGGTATGCAGGAAATCGGGACTTGGATCGCGACGCTGACGTCTGCGTGCCTCTCACCCCGTGGTCACGTGGATTTTTGTTTCTCTGGATCCTCCGGTTTTGCCTTCACATTTAGAAACATGCATTTAGATTGTTTAGATTATTTTGCTGCTATACATTTTCACATAAGCCGCTTTGTGACCAGATTCCTTCTGAAAAATAAACTCAGAGCTTAGTGGGCCTTACCTGATAAGATAAAAAAGTTACATTTATTTGTATACATTTTTGAAGCAATTTGTTTACATTTCCTATAATTTGCACTCCTATCGTGTTTAGTATTGTTTGTCGTAACGTCCCTAACTGGACATCTGTGAAAAATAGCTTTATAGCTCATCAAATCCCTCCAGTATAAATATTCTTATTCTGACTAATACGGTCACATACACCTTACAAATTGTAAGACGCCAGTTGTTGCTTTAAGACACTGGAGGGAAATTATGTGTGTATCGTAATATAGAGAATGCGGTATCTGTTTGGGACTATGCAGATGTAATGCTCATGTGGAAAATCAATCAACGTGTATTTGTAACACGGGAAGTCCTATTTAGCCAGTTACCCGGCTAGTTTGCAAGGGTGATCTGTGGCGCATGAACTCAGAAGAACGACAACATCAACTGATGCATGCGTACAGAAGAAAGGCAACAAATAACGCGAAAAACCCCAACAGATTGGTCGTGCAGGCCGTAAGATGTGATGTGGAAGTTGACATAAAATAACTTTGGGGAAATGTGAATTGTCCCTCAATGGTATCCTCATGCATCATACCACGAGTGGACTGCTATGTCTAGTCTATGTCAAAAGTGATTTCAAGTTGGAGTGATGTCTTGCTCAATTAACATTTGTATATGACTGCTATGAAATAACGTGTAACATTAAAATACATTACAGTACTCTTAAAATCGCATTCACCAAAAAAATTATTACAGTAATGCACCAGGGGTTAAACCAATAAAATGTACTGTACCTTGGTTAAGCCGTGTTCTTTATGTGATACAATATAATCACTTAAGGTCCTTTATGCAGTCGGCGCTGCTTCCTTTGAACCAGTGCCTAACACGAAGCTGGAAATCTTGGTATTCTCGTATCAGTATTTATCTTACAATTAACATGTCAAAACGTTGCGAGGATAACGTTCAATAATGTAGACAAATTTGCCCGTCTGTGCCACATTATTTGTTCTGAAGATACTGAGAGACTGGATCATTCTTTAGTTTTTTTCCCGTCTTGATCATTGCAATGCCTTGTTCTCCGGAGCCCCGAGTATATCCTCCTTGGAGACTGTCCAACATACAGCCTCCCGGGTGTTCACGCGTACTCCCCTTCAGGATCAGAACTTACTTATGCTCATGCCTCTGCATTCGGCTTCCAGTTCACATCAGCATTGAATTTAAGATTTCCCTCCTGTGCAAGGCTTTAATTTGGCTTGCTCCATATATCCAGGAGCCAATTTAGCTGCACTCCATTGAGATCTCCCGATCGTGCCCGACTCAGCGTGGCGCCCAGGTTCTGGAATTCTTTGCCCTTGGAGGTTAACTCGAAATCGATGGAGACTTAAGTCCCGGTTGAAGACACCTATTTAACTCGCCTTTTGCCCGTGCAAGGACGGGTGTATTGCAGTAAATCTGAAACTTGCAAGCGAAAAGCAGACCGCGACGTGATGTATTCATTCCACCAATTTGTGTGCAATTTGTAAGGGCGCGGTGACACAGACCTATTTCATTTAAAGGTTATAATCCCTTGTTCATCATGACGTCCTTTTTGCTTTGATGTCTCAACAGCTTTACGGAGATTGCGTAACATGAGGGTTCTGCATTTGTAGTGAGGGTTGTGAGTTGACGTCGAGGAGGGGGGAGGCGCCTCGGTCGCCCATATGGAGTGACGTCAGACGCTAATGATTATTAATGAGGGGGGCTGTTCGATGTTGAGTGTCGTCACCTGCTTATGCTTATTAATGGCGTAGGGTGCTCCATGTGGAGTGACGTCACATGCTCATGATTATTAATGAGGGGGGGCTGGTCGACGTAAGTGACGTCATGAGCGTTGCACACAGACATTCTTGGCTCATTATAGTAGGTAATAATAATGGGGGGAGTGTCTATTTGGAGGACGTCACCTGCTCATTATTATTGAGGGTGGCTGTTCGATGTTGAGTGCCGTCACTTGCGCATGATTATTAGTGGGGGGGGGGGGGGAGTACTCCATAGTGACGTCACCCGCTCATGATTATTAATTGGTGGGGGGTATCCATTTGGAGGACACCTGCTCATGAATATTAATTAAGCTGATCGATGTGGCGTGCCGTCACAAGCGTTGACAGACATTCCTGGGTGATTATAGCAGGTATAAGGCCTCTAGTCAGTCTCTCCCCGTTTACTTTTCAGTTTCCACATTTATATGCATGGTACTTTGTAAATCTAAATTATTACGTGCAATCCTTTTGTTGATCCATTGCTGGATAAAGGCCTCCACACCACGTGAGGGATGAACGCTGGATCAGTTTTTGGCACATAGCAGTCCAATTTACTGCACTGCCCTCTGCTGCCCATCCTACAGCTTCGCAGCCTATGCTAATTTTTTGTGCATGTTCCCATCCAAGCAGTATAGGCACATTGTATGCGGTTTTCGTGATATTTTCATCTTTAATTAATCCAACTGCAATGATTTAAGCATCTGGTAATACTGTATAGCAACTTATTGTACATCTTAAATATCAAGTTTGTAGTGTGTTTTAAATAAAATAAAATGGTGCACGCAATTTCAAAAGAATGTTTATTAACAGTTTGGTATTGTGAGCCATGCTATTGCACACGTACAGCCCTTTTGTTGATCTACGACTCGATACGCAAACTGTCCACTTCGTGTCCATTGTCAAGGAGCATAAACCATCGCAACTTTTGGCTGTCCATCGAACAGACGGTCACTTCATCGCGCTTTCAGAAGCACTTCTGCAGCCGTCTGGATTGCTCTTCCTTCCGATATTAAGAAGCCACGAGCTATGTACTTTTAAATCTATATTGAAAACTAATTTCTTTAGAACTGCGTTGTGTTTAGTTTGTTGTCCTTCCCCCACACCTCCGATTAGTACGGTTGGCTATGTATAGTGCGAAAGAAGTTCAACTCACATATATACATTGTACTCTATTACATTTAAAACATGCTAAAATTAATGGAGCAAAATAAACTACTGAATAAAAACCTAATTCGTTGTCTTTACGGACAAGCGAAACACTGAAAAATGTAAGCTTAAAAGTAAATATTACACAAAAAGGTAGACAATTCATTTTCCATTACCTTCGAAAAAATGCTGATCCAATTGTTTGTGAAAAATGGTCAATAAGTAAATGCAACGTTTGTGTACTAAAATTGGAATAATATAGTCATAAATACAACAATGTACTATGTTTAATTAATCACTTATATGTACCTGTACAGACTAGAGGTATAACTATGTACTTGTAATCATACCAATTTCATTGAAGCATGCGGTGTGAATCATAGCAATGTAAATCTGTACATATAAAAACAAAGTATTGTGTAATGCAATACATCCCAAATTGCGATATTTTCAATGCATGAGATCTAGTTTAAACATAACCAAATTATAGTATTACTTCTAACCTATATTTTATAAACAAATAAGTATCTAAATGACCATTAAACATGCATTAAGTTATAAGCTATGATTGAAATGGTAAAATCAGCCTTAGATAAAGTTATATCACTCGTACGTTTCAAACCGACAAGTGTGCATGTGCAAAGTACTGGACCTAGAGCGAGCTATTCACATGCATGCTCCAGTAAAAAATGAACCGAGTTTTAGGGTGGATTTGTTGATCTCTTGAAAATTCTGCTAAATTAAGCAGTACTGTACATGACGTGTAAATATCCAACCATCACATCTACCTGGACCAATCAACTGCCCCACCCAGTGAAATATGTGCATGGTGCAACAAATTTGACTTTCTCATGTAGAAATATACAATATTCCTCATCTCACAAACATGCACTTACTTGTAAAAGGTCAGAAAATCATATATCCCAGTTTAAACCATTTTGCCATGTATTTGTCCAGCAATCTATTTATGCATGGTGTAACTGTCATTCTCATATCCAACATTTTTACATATCTGCCGATACCTCCATCCAACGAGTTTAGATGTGATGTTGTACTTCAGAGACGTTTGGCATGTAAGTAACAAAACACGATTAATTAAAAAGTGTTCTTCACCAGGTGGCCTTCAATTGTCAAGTCATCATAAGCAAACAGGGACATCTGCAAAGAGATTTAGAATTAACAACATGCATTTTAAAGACTAGAAAAGTGACAATTTGTTTATGTAAATATTTACATCGCTTTAAACATCACTGTATTAACCTGAACTTATAAACAATGTACATAAAATAAACTGTACCTAATTACATGGTTAAGCAAGCATGTACTTGAATATCGTTACCCCATGACTGCCGTGTCATGTTCACCTATACACATTAGAATGGCAAAAAATCGGGGTAAAAATCACCCCAACGACTGACGCGGTTTACATCACCAATGTTATCTGTGGCCAGGAAGTGAACTTGGGCAGCAGAATTTATGGTATTGTGCGCAAACCACTGCACAACCACTTCCCCCAATCATATTAATACTTAGTTAAAACAGGCTTAAATGTAAATTAACTAGTCATTTTAGAAAATACACAGGCGTTCATGACAACCATTTACAAGATATTTACCGAAACTTCCCATGACTCATTATTTCCTACTGTAGTATAGTTTGCATAATTCCACAACTTGCAACCCAAAGACTTGTTGATAAAGCACATTACGCACCCCATGATCATCGGCGAGGTCGAGTGGCGAATCGTACTCCAGGTTGGGTAGGGTGGCGTCTGCTCCCAGACGAATTAGCAATTTTGCTAAATCGGCCAACCTCCTCCCAACAGCCTGGTGCAGGGGAGTGCATCCGTTGTACATGATGGCATTGACCTGAGCCCCGAGCTCGACAAGACGTGACACCATCAGGCTGTCATCCTGTTCCACGGCCATATGCAGTGCTGTCCGGCCACTCTTGGGATCCTGCAGTTGAGAGTATGCATGAGATAAACTTTTGAAAATATCACATTAAACTAGTTACATGTTAATTATACTGCTCTCACTCCCCCTCCCTCCAAATTTCCCCTACCCAAATTATCCAGGTTGCGTAAACCCCGTTTGCAAAAAAGGAAATAAAATACGCCAAGTCATCCATACCTTTGCCGAACATCCTTGTTCTATTTTTACCTGCTCCTCACTTGTGACTCGGTGAGAGCTTACTTCTAGAAACAATACAATGATGCCATATTCTACATATTAGGTCTTTTTATGCCTAATTTGCAAATGTATTATCCTTGTTTTTACTTTATCTGAGACATTCCTCCTCTCAGATAAATTGCGAGTTCACTGTATGGTGTCATTATAAAATAATTACGTGACAAATGCTAAGCCTTACCTTTGCTTCAATGTTAGCTCCTTTTCTGACGAGGTAATCCACTAATTTTACATTGGAGTTCAGGACTGCCAGATGTAAGCATGTGGATCCTACAAAAAGCAAACATCGCAAAATTTGTTAAAACCATAACATTATTTATTTACTGCACTTAAGGAATTTGATGTCTCTGAAATGTGGGAACCAACACAACACTAATAAATAACTAAACAAAATTACATCAGTTCCCAGGTTGTAATGTATTTTTCATACATGTACAAAGCCTACAGAAATATCATGTTTTTGTTTGGCCTTAATTCTTACCTTTGTAGTTCAGTATCTCCATGCTTGATGGGACAATTATAGGACTTGTTGTATTGATGGGTATCTCATCGGGAGAGAGTTGATCAGTCAGTGCCCAAACGGCTTCTAGGCTCTGATGTGCACAAGCCAGGTGCAGTGGGGTGTTTCCACGCAGGTCCTGAAGACACATGTTGGCTCCAGCAAGGACCAGCGACCGTGCCAATCGCCACTCGTCTGTTACTACAGCCAGGTGAAGTGGTGTCTGAAAGAGAAGCAGAAATACATGGATTTGAGTTCAACCGGATCTCCGGTCTCATTTTTTTGCATTGGTCACCATCAAGTAACGACGGGTTGTCACAGGGTGGTGGCGCTATGCTGTGAGCAGCAGTGCATTATAATCCAATGGTATACTGTAGTTATCTGTTCCCAGGTATCTGTTGAAGTTTAAATAAACTCCAAGATCCCGCAATGGCAATGCCCCCATCCAGTCCTGGATTCACAAAAGGGTTGCACATGTACACTTATATCATGCAATTAATTTACCCAGGAAACTCTGAGTATCGTGACAGCTATTGCAGGTTCGAAATTTAGATGTTAGACCAGTGATTGAGTTTTTCATGCGAGAGGAAACGAAGAGTACAGGACAGCAACACGGGAAAAAAGCACGAATTAAATCGATTCGTTCAGCACTGCCACCTCCTGGCCAAATCGCGCAACACGAGTTTTGTAAACAACAAAAGAACGCGTATAATATCTGGTCCAACACCATGTGAGACTCGGCTCTAAGAAAATCTGTCTCGGGTGTGGACCAATCAATTTCAAGGACAGTGCACATACATTATCAAGAGTTGTGTTTTCCGTTTGCATTCCGACCGCAGGTATTGTGGTCAATGCAAACATGACTCCTTGTAAAAAAAGGTGTCAGTTTTGTTGCCAGATAAAAGGGTAATGTACACACGAGTAATTTGGGGTATTTTACAAATACACTACCTGCATCAAATAGTTTTGCTGATCGATAAGACACCTGTTCACGTCCTTGTAGAGTACGTGCAGTGCGATATCCGGCGCTCCGTGGATTATAGCTTGATGCAAAAACCTGAGAGTGCGTACAAAATTACGAAATGCTTTTAATGGACATTTACAAACAACACAAGTCCCGTAAAAATGGTAAAACCGAGTTCCTATATTTCGGAATTCACACATCCCACCGCAGCCTTACAAATACGACCACACATCTTATTTAAGATTTAGGATTCCTATATGTTGAATGTATGCACCTTCCTGCCAAAGTAAATTCCTTGTCTGTGCGAACTTTCATGGCGAATAAAACCCTTTCTGATTCTTCACTCTCACTGCGTGTGGCCTTACGTGTCTCCATCCTCGTCCGCTTCCGCAGCAATGACGGCTGCCCAGCGGTCGTTCTCTTGTGCGGAGCAGCCGAATCCGCAGACCCCCGACTCAATGTCCGTGCTCTCGTCGGAGATTCTCTCCACCTCACGCAGATCCACGTCTCTGCCAGAGACAGCTGCCCTCCTCAGCTCCGTCTCGAGGTCTGCTTCGCACATGGAACTGATGGCCGAGTCTGTGCTCAAGAATGTACCGCCACAAGAGTCCATGCTGGTAGCGAGGTACGAGCCCGGGTACGTGCCAGGCTGGGTGCCAGGCTGGGTGCCCGTTTCGTTTCCACGGCGGCAGTCGTCATCCTGGGTGCCCAGCGGAGCGTAGGCCTGCGTGCCGTCGACCCCGAGGCGCGACACGCCGGCCCTGATGCTCTCCACGTCCGCCTCGCACAAGGAGCCGATGCCGGAATCGCACGCCTCGTCCACCACAGGGGCCGACTTCGAGGCCTGGCGGCCCTGGGCATCTCCACGAGAGACGCTCATCTTGGCTGGCCACTCCTTGTCCTTGTTTCTCCTCTCCACCGTAGCCCGTGGCCTCCCCCTTCGGTCCTCCTGCCACCCACCCCCTGTGTGTGTCCTCTCCCCTGTGTCGCCTTCTCGCCTTCACCGCCGACTCCAAGCCGAGCCCGAGGCCTCAACGACGACGACGATGGCGGCGACAGCGGCGGCCGCGAACATCGCCCGGGCACATCGCCTGGACGCTCGCCTGTGCTGCCGATAGAGCGACGAGGAAGCCGAGGGTGAAGATAACCGACGAGTCGTAACGAAGGTAACGATGGTAGAGATAGTGTATAGAAAAAAGAGACGAGGGTAACCGGGCTAAACGGCGTCGCAATATCAAAGCGCCTCGCCCGCCTGGGTTTTCCCGAGCGCTATAAATAGCGCAGCCAATAGCAGCGCGCCTTGCTGGCGCCACGTGATGTTTAGATCAGCGTCGACGTCTCCTATTGGTCAACAACGCCGCGTGGGGAATTCCCAGGGATGAGGGGAGGGGGCAAGGGAGAGGGGGACTGAGGGGAGGGGGGCTGAGGGGAGGGGGACTGAGGGGAGGGGGCCTGAGGGGAGGGGGCCTGAGGGGGGCTGAGGGGAGGGGGCCTGAGGGGGGCTGAGGGGAGGGGGCCTGAGGGGGGCTGAGGGGAGGGGGACTGAGGGGAGGGGAACTGAGGGGAGGGGGCCTGAGGGGGGCTGAGGGGAGGGGGACTGAGGGGAGGGGGACTGAGGGGAGGGGGCCTGAGGGGGGCTGAGGGGAGGAGGACTGAGGGGAGGGGGACTGAGGGGAGGGGGCCTGAGGGGGGCTGAGGGGAGGGGGCCTGAGGGGGGCTGAGGGGAGGGGGCCTGAGGGGGGCTGAGGGGAGGGGGACTGAGGGGAGGGGGACTGAGGGGAGGGGGCCTGAGGGGGACTGAGGGGAGGGGGCCTGAGGGGGTCTGAGGGGAGGGGGACTGAGGGGAGGGGGACTGAGGGGAGGGGGCCTGAGGGGGGCTGAGGGGAGGGGGCCTGAGGGGGGCTGAGGGGAGGGGGACTGAGGGGAGGGGGACTGAGGGGAGGGGGCCTGAGGGGGGCTGAGGGGAGGGGGCCTGAGGGGGTCTGAGGGGAGGGGGACTGAGGGGAGGGGGACTGAGGGGAGGGGGCCTGAGGGGGGCTGAGGGGAGGGGGACTGAGGAGAGGGGGACTGAGGGGAGGGGGCCTGAGGGGGGCTGAGGGGAGGGGGCCTGAGGGGGGCTGAGGGGAGGGGGACTGAGGGGAGGGGGACTGAGGGGAGGGGGCCTGAGGGGGACTGAGGGGAGGGGGCCTGAGGGGGGCTGAGGGGAGGGGGACTGAGGGGGACTGAGGGGAGGGGACTGAGGGAAGGGGGACTGAGGGGAGGGGGGCTGAGGGGAGGGGGGCTGAGGGGGGATTGAGGGGAGGGAGACTGAGGGGAGGGAGACTGAGGGGGGCTGAGGGGAGGGAGACTGAGGGGAGGGGGACTGAGGGGGACTGAGGGGAGGGGACTGAGGGAAGGGGGACTGAGGGGAGGGGGGCTGAGGGGAGGGGGGCTGAGGGGGGATTGAGGGGAGGGAGACTGAGGGGAGGGAGACTGAGGGGGGCTGAGGGGAGGGAGACTGAGGGGAGGGGGACTAAGGGGGGCTGAGGGAAGGGGGACTGAGGGGAGGGGGGCTGAGGGGGGCTGAGGGGAGGGGGACTGAGGGGAGGGGGACTTAGGGGGGCTGAAGGGAGGGGGACTGAGGGGGATTGAGGGGAGGGGGGCTGAGGGGGACTGAGGGGAGGGGGACTGAGGGGAGGGGGACTGAGGGAAGGGGGACTGAGGGGAGGGGGACTAAGGGGGGTTGAGGGAAGGGGGACTGAGGGGAGGGGGGCTGAGGGGGGATTGAGGGAAGGGGGACTGAGGGGAGGGGGGCTGAGGGGGGCTGAGGGGAGGGGGACTGAGGGGAGGGGGACTTAGGGGGGCTGAAGGGAGGGGGACTGAGGGGGTTTGAGGGGAGGGGGACTGAAGGGGGCTGAGGGGAGGGGGACTGAGGGGGATTGAGGGGAGGGGGACTGAGGGGGACTGAGGGGAGGGGGGCTGAGGGGGACTGAGGGGAGGGGCCCCTCATTCGTGTCGTGAATAATTTAAGTTAAAATCTTCCTTCCCAGGTGGACTTCTCCACGAATCTGGCTGTCGCCTGATGAAGCTAGTTGTAATTACTGGCGAAACGTCGTACTCGGATTGTAAATGTTGTGGCTTGGCTCTCCAACACACCGGTGTTGCTGTACTAGTATACTGCACTACACACTACACTATACACTACTATACACAATACACTACACTACTATACATTACACTATACACTACACTACTACACACTACACTATACACTACACCGGTGTTGCTGTACTAGTGACGAATTGGCCACGTTCTGTTTGCGTGACAAACCTCACTAATTGGCTGTGTCGGGTGGTGGTGGGTTTAACGACACGTTTATATATTTACGCGATCTAAACATCTATTATGAACCTTCCTGTGTCTGTCTATGCATGTTAAACAATACTACAGTGTTTTTTGGGGGGGATGTGCGTTGCTAGCATTACAGATTGTAACGTTACAACCATTTGGTTTTACAGATTTAGGAGCTCTTCCAGGCATTATTTATGTGCGAGTTTACTTGTCAGTCAATGCTTGGTAAATTGTCTCTGGACATGGTTGATCGTACTATGTATTAACGTTCCTGTATCAGTTGTCTACGTCTTATAAAGGCACTTGGTAAATTGTCTAGTCACATTCTGACTACTCTTGGTCTATGTAGCGACATCTAACGACTTTGAGGTTCGTTCGGGGACAATAGGTTTCAAGGAGTTGGCAACAATGGGAGGGAAAATTCGGAATAATGAGAGGCGTGGCGATGATTTAAATCGGATGAGGGTAGGTGAAGTTGCATGAAGAAATAAACAACACTCAAATCATCAGAGTCAGACAGAGATACACAGCAACAGAATATATTTTCAGAAATGTGTATTGGAGACGTGCATATGCATGAGCACAAACGTATAAACCATATCTTTTCAGATGACAGAGTCAACCATGAATATTTACCAGAGGAAATTATTGAATAAATGGATGTTTATGTTGGAACGCGTCCCATCACCTGCCTCTAACCTGTGGATTTTTGACAGAATTCAGAATGACCAGATACGTCCATCCGATCTCTGGGAACATTTTGATCTCCCGAAACACCGAGACCAGCTTGACCCTCCACGAACTCGTCTCAAATCCCAGAAACCAATCTGGGATCGCATGAGACAATAAGATGACACAGGGTCAACTGGCGGACGCAGTCGAATTCTGCAGAGGTTCCTAATAAAAGCCTCATCGAAGGCTCCACCACTGCTCCATATGGCTTTGATCTGCCAAGATAACTGTGGTGGCTTCATCAACCGATTGAGAACAGCGACCGGTCACTGTTACACACACCTCTTACACAACTGGAAACCCACAGATGACTCACAGTTCAGTGTGACCGCGGCCACCCAAACCAAACGATCAACCATATCACGAAAAGCTGCATTCTATGCCCGCTCTCGGGCGGACTGGACGGTATTACTTTTACTCCCGAAGCTATCACATGGCTCAGAAACGTCAACCTAGACGTTTAATTTACAGATACTTTCCATGCGCACGAAGAAGTTGCTCTGTGAACAGGAAATGGTTGCTTTTATGCTGGTATTATTGAATGCAACACTGCCCTTGGCTGTTGCAACACATCTTTACGATGTAATGCAACACGGTGATATAACGAAGTGATCCTACCTAACTCGTGACTTGTTGAATGCAATGCCCATGTATTAAGTTGCACATTTCAGCGCTGTTTGGCCGTGGATAATGCTGCAGTTAATGTCTTATAAGTTCGTCACTGTAACTCAACACACGTTTGAAGCCATGCAGAAAGTGGAGATGGTGTGTTTTCTGTACCACTCAATCTCTCTAATACCCTCTCACATTAATCGCTCTGCCAGAAAAGGGAAAGTTGAGATTTTTTTGAAGAATTGTTAAGAATACAACCAGTTATTTATGCAGTGTATTGTGAGGAATCTGGATTTTGCTCTATAATTTCCAATACAGTCCTTCAGTTTTAATGTATCTACATGACTTAAACACTGGTGTGATAATGGATAACATTTGCTTTTGGCCTTGTGGAAAGGGTCTTCTATTCCCATTCTCCACTCATGAAGATCGATGCATCCCTGGTGGCTGTTTAAAGAGTCTACTTGTAAAGCAAAGCTTACTTGAAAGAGCTAAGTCTATCACACATGCCCTCCTCTTTCATTGTGGACACATTCCCTGCGCCTTTTACACCAGTGTACATTATTTAGAATGTAGACAGGAATCACATTTAGTACAGTAAATCTCCACGAAACAGTCTGCTTTACCGCCATTTGCCACATTTTTTAAAGATTTCCCTGAGGTTACAATGAATATAAATGAAGGTTTCATTCTTACAGGTACAGTACACTATATACGGATACAATATACTTTAAATCATACGGAATACATTTTGTTTGTGGAAATCTTACTGTGAGTCTTTAATGATGGGTACATATTTTGTAAAATATATATTTCACAACTTGAGCATATTCAACCCACCATCGCAATTTAAATGTAAACCACTTGAGTTTATGTCCAATCCTTGTATCCCAGATGTGCTGACGTGTATTTTATTTTATTCATGTTACTATATTTCATATTTATAGAGCCTAATGGGACATATTAAGAGCTTGGATGACACGCTGGGGTAGCAGTGTGCTGTGCTCCGTTTGAAATGTCTTTTTGAAATGTCTTTTTGTGATGTGCAAGAAACAATTAATTTTATATCTTCGAATGTTTGAAATAAATGAATCTCGGTTTTAGGCACGTTATTGCCATGTGATTACTTTCTGAACTATTCACAGCACTGTGTGGTAATCATGATGTGTATCCTGTTAATATTGAGATGCTTTTATGACTAATAAAACCCCAGGGATCTACATAAGTTATATATTTTTTAGTTGAATGCTTTTCATTGCGTTACATTAAATAATAATACATTATATACAGTATATTGTAAGCAATATTTACATTTGAATTAGGTGTTGTGTAGTTACTCTTTACAAATTATGGTCTAGCAGTTCACAATTATAATTCAAGGCACATCAATGAATTGTAAATATAAACGCAATTTTTTTTTACAATTACGGATAAAATATCACATGTTCAACTGGGAGTCATTTTCCCTGTGTATAGTTTACACAGTGTTGACACTAAGTGTGCGTTCATTAGCAAGAAGCAAGCTCTTTCTCTGGTGCTTTTATAGCCGAGGCAAGAGATTACATCTTCAGGGCTTTTGTGCATCAGATTTTC